GCTGAAAAATTTAATTTTTGCTGTCCTTGTGTATGTCCCTGAAGTAGTGAGTTCGCAATTACTATTCATTTGTATGTATGAACAGTGGCATGAATATGGCCAGGTTTTTACCTTTTGATTGGTACTATTATATATGTTGGAAGCCGTGGAATGTAGAAGATACTGCACAGCTGTATACAGGTATATATAGGTGTATTATTATTACTATTTTTCATGCAATGCCTTCTGCCCCATTCTTCCTTTTGGCTACTTAGTGCAGAGACATCAGCTACTCTAGAATCTCCAGACTGAATCCTTTAGCTGCCCTCAATCTAGTCTCATCTATACTGGGGGCTGGTCAGTGTGTAAGAGCGAGTAGTACTGCATGCTTGCCCTTGGTTGGGCAGATGGCTTTGTATTGAGGGTTGCTCATCTAGTCTTACGTGTTCACACCACTGAAAAGGTTGCATTGTGAGATTTTTCCCCAACCATGCTCAGAAGAAACTGTCTTTAGGTTAAAGACAGTTATTTTAGCTTTACAACAGAGCAAGCTAGCATTTGATATGAGTGACCCTAATCTGAGCAGTATTTGAAAAGGAGAAAATAATGTCTTAATAAAAAGTATTTGGAAGAACTGAAGAATGCAGTAGACCAATTAATCATAACAGATGTGTTTTTCTAGTAGTGTATGTATAAGATAATGCTTTTTGGGGGCTGTTGGTGTGCTGACTAATAAATAACTTAAGCTGGGTCTGTATGTGTCTGAGGAAAGTCATGGAAACAGCCTACAGTTTGAGACAGTGAAGCTTAGCCTTGGAGAATGTAAGGAGGCATGTGCTTTGCAATGGTGACAAGCGTCATGTTGTTTTGAGTGCCTGGTACAGCCTGAGTCACTAAGTCAACCAAAGAGTGAAATAGAGCAGGCATGCTTTAACTTAAGAATGGAATGAAAGCAGCAGCTGCCTTTAGATCTTGCAACTTCAGTCAGTTTCCATTTGATGTCAAAGGTAGAGATAAATGATAAATCAGGAGAGGGTGTTTCATCTTTGACACTATGCACTTTGAGAAACTTTTTGTATTTCAAGTAGTGGTG